CATAGTATGCAACAAAAAGAGTTTTCATTTGTTTGCAGAAGATACAAAAGAAGTTCATCTCTAAGCTTAATTCAGAGAACACTAAAATGCTAGACGGATCACATCGGAAAGATTTAATTTCACTGGAAATACTATAATACACGTTGACTAGAATTCGAAGACAATAGCGAACAATCCCTATGCTTGAAATTCAAAATCAGAGGCCCAGGGCTTTCTTCATTTTGGAAACGGCAGTGGAATTGAGGGATCTCTGCATCGAAGGAGAGGATGAGGAGGGAGGAATTGGAGTTGGACGATGGCGAGGGAGATCCGTCCATAGAGGAGGGAATGTAGGTGAGGGCTTTGCCGATAGAGGTGCGACATGCTGCAACGAAGATTGCGTAGGCAGTCTCACGGATGTCAGGGGCGGTGAGCGTCGGAGTTAGGTCGCCAAATGGGGATGGGAGCAGGCGAGTGGCGACAGGTAGAAGCTGGTAGTGCTGGTGCCGGAGCAGCGGGAGTTAGCGGAGGATATAATGGCAGCAGCCGGTGGCTGATGCTGTGGAAGAGAATAAGTCTCTCTTAGAGTACCCAAACATTTGATCTCTGAAGAGAGATGCCATTAGAGAGAGAAAGAGAGGAGTTACTCTATGGTGGAAGAAAGTAGATAAACTGAGAAAAGGAAAGTGTAGCTTCTGCATTTGTTATTTTCTTTTATTTATCTATTTATTTATTTTTATCCTACCTAGTTAAGGAAATGACCATTTTAACCCCTAAACTAACACCTATGAGACGGAAGGTTAATGGAAGGACCAATGTTGAAATAAATATGAAAGTCAATGGACCTTTTTGTCCAAATTAAAAGACGAGAACTAATTTTGAAAAATGGCAATAATTAAAGGACCATTGCTGGAATTGAATTAACTCATAAAATTGTACTACCACATTAAATATATGATAAAAGTGTACTATTAGCTCACCTTTAAGAGTTTTAGCAGCATCATCGACTCTTACGAAACAGTTGTTGAAGAAAGGAGGGTAATTCCATGCTCTTTCTCCCACCTGCTGATAGTGTTGGTTTTCTGTGAACTACTGTTCCACCTTTGGCATTAATGTCATTATTTAACTAAACAACATTATTTCTTTCTTCATTTGTCGCACTGGATTCGGGAATGTGGGCTTCAGAAGATGAGTCCTGTTGTAGCAACATCCCTCCCCTCTCTGCAGCATTATATTGTGCTTTTAGTGCAGGCCAAACGTCAGTAGTATGATTCTCATCCGAGGCAGTACCAACTTCTTCTAATGAGCATCTAGTGATGCCAAAGTCCCGACGTGCTCGCTTGAATATAGATAGGCTAACTGCACAATGGAGGGAGATTCCAAGTAAACAAAGGTGTCTGTGAGAAACTATTCAAGTAAGCAAAAACCAAACCACCACTGTATACTACGAAACTACTACCCCATAAAATATATGATAAAACTGATAGCTCACCTTTAAGAGCATCACGACGACTCTTACCAAACAGTGGTTCAGGAACCTTGCGGGAAATCTAATGATCTTTCTGCCACCGTATCAATGAAGTCGACCTTTTTTCTTCTAGTTGTTTCTTCCTATGGCATCAGTTCTTTTTAACCCAACAACAACAAAGTTTCTTTCTTCATTTGTTGCACTGGATTTGGGAATATGGCCTTCACATGGTGAGTCCAGTTGCATCATCCTGCATTCTGCTTCAAGTAGTGCTGGCAAAATGCTAACACTATGATTCTTTTGGGAGGCAGTGCCAACTTCTTCTTCTTGTTGTAAATACCGCAACTTGATTTCTTCCCCACTCAGTAACTCTAAAAGCCCTGTCTAAACAAGCCTCTCAAAGTGGTCTAAAAACTGCCTTTCCAAACTATTCAGATGCTGCATTTCTAGGAATGTCCTTCCAAAGTAGAGCAATAAGTGCATCTTTGTATTAACGGAGGAGGGATCATCATTTACCGAAATGCCAAAGGAATAATTTTTTGTCCATAAATACAACAGCAGGCTTACTACCACATCCAGTAACTCCAAAACCACATTCCAACGATGCGTTTTTGAGCAGAATGCATACCGCCATTGGTGACTAACTGAGATCTGTTCCATTATCATCCCTCCGCAGCTTTCTAGCTCAAGTGCTTGCGAACTGCAAACATCATAATTCTTTTCGGAGGAAAATTCAACTTGTAAATATGCAGCTGCCTGCTTGACATTTAGGCGCATTTTTATCATTTGTTCTCCATTTCCTAACTCTATAACCATATTTTGACACAGCCATTCCAAGCTGAGCAGACAGGGCGTGGCTTACAAGAATGGAGCAATTTGAAACTATCGAAACTCCTGTTTTTTCTTGCAAGTATTAGCGGAATGCAAAAATTACCCTTTAACTCCTCAACATCTTCTAAAAAAAATAAAACTAAGGTGTACAACTGCTCTAAAGTAGAACAATCTGAGCAGATCAATTCGATCATTTATTTGTGGATAAGTAACTGAGTTTTGTTCCATCATCCCTCCCATACTCTTTGTTTTAAGGTCTACCACAATATATTTATTTTCCCCGGAAACATTTATATACGCCAGCGGCAGTATTTTTTCCTTTTCAAGAAACTCAACTAACCTTATAGTCATATTCGGAAAAAACTTCTCGGGGAGGAAAAGCCCAGTACCCATTACAACAAAGCAAAGCATCATTACTAATTGCACATCCTGTAACTCATGAACCTGTTGAGTTTGTCTCATATATGGATTAGGAATAAGTGTTTGTCTCAAGAGTAGGAGTGAAACGGGTAGACCTATTGTATAGGGATTGGATGCCTATAAATATATTGGTTGTATCCCTAAAGAGTTGTGTCACCACTATTACCATCACTATGAATAAGAGTATTGTTTCACTGCCGTGGATGTAGGCACATTGCCGAACCACGTAAATCTTATCTTCTTTACCTTTCTGCCATTATTATTTTTCTTATTCTTGTTAATCTCAACAAATTGGTATCAGAGCACTGTTGAGATGTCCAAATCAAGTACAAAATTCGAGATATCAAAGTTTGATGGTATAGGGAATTTTGGGCTATGGCAGTCTAGGGTAATGAATTTGTTGGCATACCAGGGCCTTCTGAAAACCATGAATGCGGAAAAGCCAACTAATCTAGAAGAGGCTGATTGGGAGGAGTTGAAGAAGCAGGAAGCTGAATTTGTTGGCATACCAGGGCCTTCTGAAAACCATGAATGCGGAAAAGCCAACTAATCTAGAAGAGGCTGATTGGGAGGAGTTGAAGAAGCAGGAAGCTATGAACGTGGTTCATGCGGATGACTCTTATTATAGTGAAGGTGATGTTCTAGCGGTAACTAGTAACAAGTTCGAATATTGTTTGGACTTGTTGGGCGTTTCTAGATGCTAGATGAGAAGGTGGTGAGGGGCGCTGTGGTGTTGGGCAGCGCGAATACCAGGAGGGGTCGTGGACCTGGTATCGATATGGGTCAATATTGGTATCGGTATGGGTCGGGCTTGTCATGAGTCACAGCTGGTATGGGCCGGGCTTGGCATGAGTCACGACTGGTATGGGCGGACACTTCAGGATGAAGCAGTTCGTGAACATGCACAGGGAAACATATGATGCTGCGTGGTGCGTGTTGCTGACCAGTGGTAATTGCTGGTTAGTGGAGCATTGGGCAAGGCACACGGGTTTAGTGTGACTTTGCAGGGGCGCTGTTGTGTTGGGGCAGCGTGGATACCAGGAGGGGATATGGACCTGGTATGGGCCGGATGCAGGAAGTCAGCTGAACGGGGCAGTTAGCATGAGTCGCGGCGGTATAACAAGTCGACGGCTGAGGGGCGAATGGCTTGGAACAAAGTGGTTCGTGTACATGCACTGGGTAACGTTTGATGCTGCGTATGCATATGGCTGGCTTGTTGGGATGAACATGGTTGTTCCTACCCATGTGTATATGTGAGATAAGTTTTTTTCTCCTAAGGGGCATAATTGTGAAGGTGGAGATGGTGAGATAAGTCTTTTCTCCTAAGAGACATATTTGCTAAGGTGGAGATTTGTTGAGTTATCTTTTTCTCCTAAAGGACATATTTGCGAAGGTGGAGATAGTCTTTTCTCCTAAAAGGGCATATATGTGAAGGTGGAGATAGTGAGATAAGTCTTTTCTCCTAAAGAGCATATTCGTCAAGGTGGAGATTTGTTGAGTTATCTTTTCTCCTAAAGAACATATTCGCTAAGGTGGAGATTGTTGACTTTGTCTCATATATGGATTAGGAATAAGTGTTTGTCTCATACTAGGAGTAGGAGTGAAACGGGTAGACCTATTGTATAGGAATTGGATGCCTATAAATATATTGGTTGTATCCCTAAAGAGTTGTGTCACCACTATTACCATCACTATGAATAAGAGTATTGTTTCACTCCCGTGGATGTAGGCACATTGCCGAACCACGTAAATCTTGTCTTCTTTACCTTTCTGCCATTATTATTTTTCTTGTTCTTGTTAATCTCAACAGAACCACACTATACTCTCCATCATCCAGCAATCTATATGGGTCAAAACTACCTCCTAGGGAATGGGAATCATCGGACGGCAATGAATGGTTCATCATCGTTGGTGAACTCAGTCATCATTCCTCCTGCCAATTGGAAGCACTCATCTACATTATTAACAGAGTGATCATCACTTGATGAACTCACTCGAATTACAATGGAAAAAAGAAAGGGAAAGCTTTATTCATCTCTGAACAAGAAATGTGGTCTATATTGTTCATTAGGATATCAAAACTGCAAAGATAATTGGAAAAAGAACACTTACAACAAGAAGGGAAAGCTGAGGCTTATATATGAGACTTAACCAAAAGCTAACTAACTAACAGCTCATTAACTAACTAAGGGAAATTACAGAAAAGCCCTTGCTAGGAAAATAACTGCTAGTGAACTACAATTGCTGAGTCTTCTAGTGAACTGGCTTCATCATCTGCCATGCTTCATCCCCCCCCCCCCCTTTAAGCTGGAGAGTGAAGGTCCTGAAGTCCCAGCTTAGAATGGAAAACCTCAAATAGGGTAATAGGTAGAGCCTTAGTGAGGCCATCTGCAATCTGTTTGTGAGAAGGAATATGCATCAATTTAATCACTCCTTCATGTACCTTTTGTCTAACAACATGGAAGTCAATTTCAATATGTTTAGTACGCTCATGGAAAACATGATTTCCTCCAATAGCCACTGCAGACTTATTATCACAGAATAGAGGTATAGTTGTGTTCTTATTGACTTTCAAATCTGCTAAAAGATAAAGGAGCCGCTGAATTTCACAGACAGTGGTGGCTAAGGCCTTGTACTCTGCTTCAGAAGATGACCTGGAAATGGTAGCTTGTTTCTTTGTCTTCCAAGATATGAGAGAGTCTCCAAGGAAAACACAGAAACCTGTTATGGACTTCCTTGTTTCAGCACAAGTGGCCCAGTCTGAGTCACAAAAACCTTGCAATTTCAGCTCAGAGTTAGAAGAGTAATACAGAACCTTTCTAGGTGAACCCTTAAGGTATCTTAGCAGTCTATGTGCTGCAACAAGATGAGTGTCTCTTGGTTTATCAACATATTGACTGAGCTGCTGTACAGAATAAGATATGCCAGGCCTTGTATTTGTTAGGTATAGTAGCTTTCCAACTAACCTCCTATAGGACTCTGGATTGTCAATCAGAATTCCTTCAGAACTGGTGACTTTTGATCCTGGTGTGCAAGGTGTCTTTGCTAGTTTGGCATCTAAAAAGCCATTTTCTTGCAGTATCTCTAGAGTGTACTTTCTTTGGCATAGGTTAATACCACTGGGAGTTCTAAGGGCTTCAATCCCCAAGAAGTAGTTGAGCTGTCCAAGATCCTTTATTTTGTAGAGAGTGTTTAGCATACCTTTGATCCTTCTTATCTCACCAGAATCTGTGCCTTCCACAAGTATGTCATCTACATACACAAGTAGGGCAGTGAAGGAATTATTATAGGACTTTGTAAATAAAGAAGGATCAGCTAAAGGATTGCTGAAAACCATCTGCTTCTAAAGACTTTGTGAGCTTGGAATTCCACTGTCTACTGGCTTGCCTCAAACCATACAGAGATTTTAACAGCTTACAGACCTGATTAGGCTTACCACCCTTAAACCCTGGAGGTAGATTCATATAGACCTCCTCATACAAATCACCATGCAAGAAAGCATTGTTGATGTCAAGCTGTTGGACATCCCATCCTTTAGTAGCTGCTATGGCTAGAAAGGTCTTGATGGTGGTCATTCTGGCCACAGGTGAAAATGTTTCCATGTAATCCACCCCCATTCGCTGAGTGTAACCTTTTGCAACTAGCCTGGCCTTATATCTCTCTACTGTCTCATCTGTCCTATGCTTTCTTTATATACCCATCTGCAACCTATAGATGTCTTTCCTTTAGGCATATCAGTCAAGATCCAAGTGTTAGTCTGGTTTAAAGCATCTATTTCAGATTGCATAGCTTTCTTCCATTCATCACGCTGGACAGCTTCATGATATGATTGTGGCTCATTGACAGATGTAACAGATAAAGCACATGCCCTATGTTCAGGGGACAAATTTTCATGAGTGATGAAATTCTCTATAGGATGGGGAGAATACTTTTCAACAGTCCTTTTCCCTACCATCAGTTGGCAGTAATAGTCATTGAGCCTGTGGGGAACAGCCCTTGACCTTGTGGACCTTCTAGGATGTTGCTGATTCTCATGATCCTCTGAGGAGTGAGTTTTATCAGTGGGAACTGAGGCCTCCTCACCATTTGATTCAGCCTCATCACTGGAAGGCAAGGTATTTGAGCCAGTATTTCTTCTAGTGCTTCTTTCAGGACTGTTTCTACTTCTGGAGTCAGCAGAATGAGTATCTTCTGTCATGCATCCATCATTTATGAGGCTCCTTATGTGTTCCAGAGGAGTGGACATGGCTTGTTCCTCAATTGAGACTGGAATAAGAGGTAATGTAGGATTACAGAACTCACTTGCAGGAGTGGATGCATGTGGAATTTCTTGACTTTTGAAGGGGAAAGCCTGCTCATAGAACTTTACATCTCTGGAAACAAAAATAAGTTTGTCAGTAAGATCATACAACATATACCCCTTTTATAGCTGGAAAGACTAAAAAAATGCCATTTCTAGCCCTAGACTCCATCTTATTCCTTCCTTGAGAAATGGTAGCTGCAAAACACAAATAGCCAAAGGTTCTGAGCTGTGTATAGTCCATTTCATTCCCAGTCAACAATTTCAAAGGAGAACTTCCATTAAGAACATCTGTAGGGAGTCTATTTATGAGGTAGGAGGCATGCAACACACAATGCCCCCAAAACTCCAAAGGCAGACCAGACTGGAATCTCAAGGACCTGGCTATGTTCAATATATGCTGGTGTTTTCTCTCCACAACCCCATTCTGTTGGGGAGTATAAACACAAGATTTTTGATGCACCATCCCCTTTTCATCATAGAAGGCATCCATTATGAACTCAGTTCCATTGTTAGTCCTTACTGTTTTGATCTTAGCAAAAAATTTGTGTAAAGACATAGTTATAGAATCTCTGAAAGGCAGACTTAACTTGTGACTTATTTCTCAACATGTATAACCAGGTGAACCTGCTATAGTCATCAACAATGCTCAGAAAATAGTGTTCCCCTTCAAGAGTGGAACAGAAAAAGGACCCCACACATCCATATGAATTAGTTCAAAACATTGTTGAGCTCTAGTTGTTCTAATAGGAAATGCAGACCTTTTGTGTTTGGCCAGATGACAGACATCACATATAAAACCACATTGTTTCTGCAACTGTAATGAATCAGATTTTATTTCATTCAGAAGAGGAATTTTATTAATGGGATAGTGTCCCAATCTATTTTGCCACAACTGAATTGTCAAACTATTACATTGAGAATTACTTTTATCTAAGGACTGAATCTGCTTCTTAACAGGGGGGTCTGAACCAGCTACAATCCATTTTTTTCCTTAGCAAAACCAGCCATGGTTCCAAGAGGCCCCTGAATATCACAATAATCAGCATCCATCACAAGCCTACATCCTGACTGTTTGGCCAATTTACTGACAGATATGATATTGAAGGTAAAGGAGGGAACATATAGAACATTTTCCAACAGCAGCCCCTTATCAAATTTAACCTGCCCCATATGTGTGACACTCACAACTTCACCATTTTGCAATTTAACAGAAATTCCATCAATCTTGCAGCACTCATCAAAAAATTGTAAAGAACATGTAATATGGTCTGTAGCACCTTGATAGGCATATTTTACACTCATATTTTAGGTACATCTTTATAATAATTTTGTAATAGTTATTTAATATTATCTTATAATTAGTTCTTTTTAATATATAATATATAATATATAAAATATATAATACATATTACGTACTATACTAATATATACATATATTTATTACGTATATATATGCATTATATATATATATATATATATATATATATATATATATATATATATATATATATATATATTCCTTAGCATGCAAACAAATAAAGTTTTATATTTTGGTTTCCTCTCAACGTACATTACGTGAAGACTTCTTCATTAGCAACGCATATCACGTACGGACAAATAGCTGCAGACTCGGTTGTACAAGACTTGGTGCAAAAATAGGAAAATGAATGGTGAAGAATGGTTCTAGTATATTTTGGAGGGTGTATAAATAGTAGTGAAATTCTTTTGTAAAACGTTCATTCTTCCCCTCTTGATTATTCTTTAAAGTTGTTGTCAATGTCCATTCGTGGCTAATTTCTTTAGCTTGGTTTAGTGAACTAAAGTCCCAGAATTGATTATGCTGTAAGATAATTTATTTATTTTATTATATAATTTTTATACATTTGGGTATTAAATATTCTTCTAACTTATTTGATATAATTCTTTGCTATATTAGATAATGTTGTGCTACAAATTATTCTAATATTCAGTAGCAACTGAGGTTAATTATTGACGGCTTAGTGATAATTGATTTCAGGAAGAATATTTTCCTAAATTAAATGCAACCGCTTGTGCTTGTGTTATTTAGTTTGTCGGTTTTCCTAGTTCCTATTGCTGCTATTAAATTAAATCTATAGCGCTTGTCTTAGGTTATTTAGTAGTTAGGGGTAATTAAACCGCGTGTGCTTTAGTTACATACAACTAAGGGAAAACGGATATGAAATAATTTCACGATAAATATTCAATTGCATATCAATTACCTTTTTGAGTCAATGATCAGTGTTAAATTCCGGTGGTGGATCTTTACTAACCAAGATTTTCTATCATAGGTGCTTTCAATATATTGTTTTCATTGCTTTATTCGATTTATTTAATCTCTTGTTTATTAAATTATCTTTTACTTAATCTTTATTCTCGTTATTTTCCAAACCCCCCATTATTTCCTTGAGCACAAAAGTTAAACTAGTTACTCCTCGTGGGATCGATCCTTACTCCCGCTACTACGTTTGTAAGGTTTTAATTTGGGAGCCTACGACAGCTCATCAAATTTTGGCGCCGTTGCCGAGGAGATTTTCTAGCTTATTTTGTGTTTATTTAATTATTTATTTCTTTATTTATTTATTTGTTTTTCATTTGTCCCAAAAAAAAAAAGAATTTTTTTAAAAAAATCTTTTCTTTCGTTACTTTTGCATAAATGCTGCAATATATTTTCTTTTCTTTTTTTATGCCTATAACTCGATTTGCTAATAAAAAAATCTTGCCGTACTATCCGGAAATTGAAAGAACTATACGCAGGTGGAGGAAACAAGCTTTGAGCAAATTGGAGTTTAGTGATCTGGCTACCAATTCTGCCAATTCTGATTTAGAACCCATGGCTCAAAATCGAACTTTAAAAGAGCTTGGAGCTCCAAATTTGGATCAGCAACCTTTATGCATTACTTTTCCTGCTCTGGATGCTTATGTACAATTTGAATTAAAATCTGGGTTAATTCATCTGTTGCCTTCTTTTCATGGACTTGCAGGTGAAGATCCCCACAAACACTTAAAAGAATTCCGTGTGGTGTGTTCGAGTATGAAACCCACAGGGGTTACTGAAGAACAAATCAAGTTGAGAGCCTTCCCCTTTTCGTTGAAAGATTCAGCGAAGGATTGGCTATACTATCTACCTTCTGGGAGCATCACCACATGGAATAACCTGAAGACAGCGTTTCTTGAAAAATATTTTCCAGCTTCAAGGGCGGCCAATATTAGAAAGGAAATCTGTGGTATAAGGCAAAACAATGGAGAGTTATTATATGAATATTGGGAGCGTTTCAAAAAGCTTTGTGCAAGCTGCCCACACCATCAAATTAGTGATCAATTACTCATTCAATACTTTTATGAAGGACTTTTTTCAATGGATAGAAGCATGATTGATGCCGCAAGCGGTGGTGCTTTAGTTGACAAGACACCAGACGTTGCAAGAACTCTAATTGCGAATATGGCTGCAAATTCTCAACAGTTTGGCAATAGAATAGTCCAACCGTCTAAGCAAGTGAATGAGGTAAATATTTCTGCTCTTGAACAACAAATTTCTGGTTTAACTACTCTTGTCCGTCAATTAGCAGTAGGCAATATGCAAACTGTAAAAGCATGTGGAATTTGCTCGGTAGTTGGGCATCAAACTGATGCCTGCCCAACTCTTCAAGAAGAACCTATTGAACAAGTTAACATGGCTGGAGGTTTTCCTGGACAACCTCAAGATAAGTATGATCCATTTTCCAATACATATAATCCTGGATGGAGGGATCACCCAAACCTTAGCTATGGGAACTCACAAGGGAACCAGTTTGTTCAGAATCGTTCTAATTTTCAGCAGTATAGACAACCATTTCCTTCAACACAACAACCAACCCAAGGCTCTAGCTCATGTATGAATCTAGAAGATATTGTTAAATCTCTTGCTACTAACACTTTGCAGTTTCAACAAGAAACACAACTATTCCAACAAGGGACAAGAGCTAGTATTCAAGAAACAAATGCTAGTATTCAAAACTTGGAAAGACAAATGGGCCAACTAGCAACTACGGTTAGTCGGTTGGAAGCACAGAGTTCTGGCAAACTACCCTCTCAAACAGTGGTTAATCCAAGAGAAAATGCAAGTGCAATTGTGTTGAGGAGTGGTAAGGAAATTGAAGGCCCTGCGATTGCTACCCCATCAGTGAACCAAGAAAAAGAGGGAACTAGCAACAATGAAAATTCTCAAGGTAAGTCTCCCAATCTTTCGAATTATGAACCACTTCCCCCATTCCCTCAAGCTTTGTTAGAATCTATAAAAGGAACGAAAGATGAAGAGTTATATGAAACTTTCAAAAATTGAGAAGTGAATATTCCAATACTTGATGCAATAAAACAAGTTCCTAGATATGCTAAATTCTTAAAGGAGTTGTGTACAACAAAAAGGACACAAAAGTAAAAAAAAAAGGTGAGAAAGTGCTAATGGGTAAGAATGTTTCTGCTGTGATTCAAAGCAAGCTTCCTGAAAAATGCAAGGATCCAGGTATGTTTACTATTCCTTGTATGATAGGCGATACTGAACTTGAGAAAGCCATGCTAGACTTAGGAGCATCTATTAATATGCCATATTCTGTGTATGCTTCTTTAAAACGTGGACCTTTGAATGAAACTAGTGTAGTTATTGTAACACCCCAGATTTTCAAGACATTTAAAACTTATAATAAAGGTAGAATCTTATTAAATCCCAAGATATAAATACAAGCGTTCGGGGTGCTATGCCACACCTGGGCTAGAGAACCCAAGTGCACAGGCTAACTAACTAATATCCTCAAAGCGTAAATACGTAAACGTGGCACGCAGGCCAAAAGGGAAACTATCTACTTCTAAGTTCTAGCGCACTCCAGTGACTTAATCTTCTGTGCCTGAAAGCCAAATATATCTGTTCAGCGAGAGATGCTGGTAACCCACTCCAACGCGTTGAAATACAATACATATAGAGGTATATATAGATATACGAAAACCATTTTGAGCATGAAGATATATCCTACGAACTCTAGCTTTAAAACCGGGAATGACTCGACAGATAAGGCCAGACACAAGCACAGTTATAACGAGCATATGCAGTTCACAACAGATAAGGCAGATAAGGTAAAGCATAAACAATGATCATAGCCCAACATGAACAATCCCCAATATAAATCCCATAGTCGCATCCCCCCCAAGACACTCGTAATCACAACTCGTCCATGTCACAACACATAACACACTTTGTTGGCGCCACAGGACCAATCGCATGCCCATACATGAGGGTCAGCGCATATAGCTCTGACACGGCCCCGCAGCACCCTGCCCCGTATCGCAACACGGAGGGGTCGATCGCAACCGACCGATGAACCGCAGCTCATCATAGTGTTTGATCGCAACCAAACGGTGGACCGCAGCCTAGGAGAATGTGTCATCTGACTGTAGCCAGGAATTCCCATCTGACTACAGCCAGCCTCTGAACCGCAGCTCAGGAAAATGTCATCTGATCGCAGCCAGGAATTCCCATCTGACTACAACCAGCTTATGGACCGCAGCCCAGGATACCGTCATCCGACTGCAGCCATGAATTCCCATCTGACTGTAGCCGGCTTCCGAACCGCAGCTTAGGATAACCAATCCGATCGCAATCGAATTGGGGCAACACGCACACATAACACATAGCAAGCACATGCAACCCACATTACACATTGGGAAGGGGGATAGAGCGTATAACAACCTTATGCGTGATCCATCACGTACAAAGAATAGTCCTAAGGGGTTCATACTTCTTCCACCTAGGTCAACAGGATACCAATTCAACTAGCATACAATATAATAGACTCATAAACCTACGAACGGTACCCGAAATATCAAACTAGACATAGGCACGACAAACGGGGTCCGTTGGGACACCACAGGGGTCGGGGAAACATCAAACGGGGAAGCCGGGGTCCCGAGGGGGAAAATTCCAGCGGGTAGCCGGTGGGTGGGGGTCCACCCGCCGGCTGCCCGCCGGCCAACACTGTTCCGGGCAGCGGGTGCCCGGTGGGCAGCTGCCCGCTGCCGGGACTGCCCGAAGTTGCCACGGGTAGGTGGCGGGTCCCCTACCCCCCACTGACTCTTTTCATCACTTTTCGCCCCGGGAACCGTTGTGGAACCCGAAACCATGCTTAGACACTTTACAACGCAATCAACGACAACACGTAGACAATTAACGGATCAAATACAGGAAACGAACGGCACCTAACCTATCATGCTTTTCTAAACATAATCAACACCCAACATGCGATTTCCCCTCCCGATAACTCAAGAATAATAACATACGATACAACCTAGGGTTCTAATTACTTTTATATCAACAAGAATACGATTCATCTTCTAATTGCAAGATCCGGTAAGAATAACACACAAACATCAAGGATGCCAATTAATCATCAAGAACATCATAATCATCAGGAACAACACATAATCATCAAAATCCCAATTAATCATCAAGAACATCATAATTATCAAGAAATTCCCAATATCAAGATTATCAAGATTCCTCATGGAATCATCACATCAACATCAATAATAAACAAAACAACTCGCCATTCATAATAATGTGGGGGAAACCCTAGGGGGAAATTATAGCTATGAAAATAGGTTTTGTTGAGACATGGGTTACCTCTTAGCCTTAATGAATTCCTTGGCTATGAAGGGTCTTTCTTTAAGCTTTCTTGCTTTCTTGATTTCTTCTAAGGGGATTCTTGGAGCACTTTGGGGTGGTGGAACGTTTATTGTGGTGGGGGGTTCTAGGTGCCTCTTAAGTCCCCTATTTATATATTTAGGAGTCCTGGTTCGGAACTAATATTATAGGCTTGCTAATTCTATTCCTTTTGGAACTAAGGATTGGGTTTAGGGATAAGGGTCCATGGTCCATAGTGGACCATATTAATTAATTAAAGGAAACCTAACCGAATTAAATCATATTTAATTATTATTAACGGGATTAATTTAATAATTAATCCGGGATTGAAGGCCGTAACACGGGGTGTTACACTCTCCCCCCCTTACGAGAAGCTTCGTCCCCGAAGCTTGGAAATCATTGCAGGGTTAACGAGTCAAGAGAAGAACCGTGGTCCTATAGAGAAGGTATTCCACGGGGAAATTGTATACTTGCACGCCTATGTGTGTTGGGTTTTTGGGAGCGATTAGGTTTTACAGGGTTAAGAGAGTGGGTTTCAAACTTGGGAACACGGTGAATTCAGGAATTAGGATCAAGTTTTCGAGGTTGCAACTTAGGTTTTGAGGTTGCCACTTGTATGGAATCGTTAAAACATGGGATTGAGAATGGGGTCTGAAGGGTAGAAAGGGTTTTGAAATAAAGAAGGGGCCGATTTTCCGAGGGAGGGAAAGGAATTCGGCTAGGATGGGTTAAGGTTTCTCGATCCCAAGTGAATAATCTGGTTAGATGCTTTGATCACGATGCGCCGACGAGCTGATGATCCTCCTTCCTTGGTGTTGGTGCTTGCTTGACTTTAAGATCCTTGTTAGACCTTGCTTCCCAGGCTAAGGTTTCATCCTTCTCTTCTTTCTTGAGGGAATTTCCCGTGGTGATTCAACACTTACTTCTTTAATGCGCCCAAGGTCTTGACCGAGTTGGGTCAACCAAGCCAATCTCTTAGGGCGCATTTCCCAAATTCTTCCCAAAGTCTCTTGGGAGTCGATGGATTTTGGGTTGAATTTCTCTTCTTATTGAGTTTCATCTCCTCTTTAGTGGATGAAATTCTTAGTAAGACTTCATGTCTTACCCGAGGTTCGGCATTGTTGTGCCCTGTTTGTGTTATTTTTAATGATGAAGGTGTCCTTGCGTGCCCTTTTTCTTTTAAAGCGCAGTCGGTTACCAAATCTCGTTGTGGGATGACTCGGCGAATTTACGAGTCACCTCATCTCCTTGTAGGTCCTTAATGACCCTTGAAGTCTTGGCGCGAATGTGTTCTTCACCCTTTTGCTTAGCACCATGGGCTACGTAGTTCTTGATTCCATACAACTTGTAAGGAGTCCTCTGATTTGCTCGAATGATGTCCATGGTTTGGAGGAGTCTCGGTCCCTCCTTAGCATTTTGACTTTTAAGGTTTTCGTGGGTTCTTAGTACGAGTTCCCAACTCGCCTCCTTGGTTTGCGCAATCCTTTACGCCAAACATCCCTAGTCGGTTGTATCGTAGGATCCGATTTCAATTACTCGTGCAATGTAATTGATTGTGATTTCCCGATGGTGTCTCGTGCGTCAAGGTCTTTTACGTAGGACACTATGTTTAGGTGGTCCATGGTTCCTTACCCAAGACTCACATTCCTCAATCGAGGCACACAAGTGCGCCACAAATCAATAAAATGAGGGGTTAAGAAATCAGCACATTGTACCAGTGGGCGCGAGGTGGGCGGTGGTCCGCCTGCCAAGCTCCTGCCAAGGACCCGCTAAGATCCCGTCAAGGACCCGTTGGGGACCCGCGGGAAAGTGACTAGGAATAGTCAATTCCTTCGGGAAAGACCCCAAAAATGCACAGATTCATGTCCTGACAAGTCCCATGCCCTTGTGCACAATAAAAGGGACTTGGATACATAGGATGACCCATCGTACAATGTTCATTGATCCTTAAGCACGAGTTCTAGAGGTAGATATACATACATATATATATATCTATGTTTTCTTGGTCTGGGTTTAAAGGGGTGTAAGGAGTGCAAGGGCTAGGTTTCAAAGTCGAGGGGCGGATAGGGTCGATGTCTCAAGGTCGTAATACAGGAAGGAAGGTTGCCACCTTGTATGGGTTCGTCTGTAATGAGGGATCAAGAGCGAGGTTTGGAGTGATAGGACAGATTCTTTAACGAAATGGTACTTGATTGGCAAGGGGAGGGAAAGGGGCTAAGGACTCTTGGCTTTGAGTGATTATGCCTGTTTGGGGCTTGGTTGTGGCGTGCAGTCGAACTGGTGATCCCTTTTCCTTGGCTTTGTTTGATTCTAAGATTTTCGTTTGATCTTCTCTTCCCGTGTCGAAGTCCCCTTCGTTT